TGCATGTCAATATAATGCCATGGAAGTTTTCGAACCATATAAATCTTCATTCTTCGACGATCTTTGTCGACTTCATTTTTAAGTAAAATGGAGTGATGGTAGCCCGCGAATCGCAAGGGAAAATTGAGAAAATATTATACCAAATTTTACATTTTATACCGAGTTTGTATTCTTAGATTTCTAATTTAAGTTAATTCAAATTGATTTATTTGTTAAATCAGATATGTAATGTATATTATAACGTATATCGTAATTAAAAGTTACAATAAATAATAATCTTCTTTTAAACTAAATTTAACGACTGTATTGTTAAGTTTTGTCAGATTTCAAAACATTTTGTCTAAATATAACAGTTAATCATTAGTAATATGTTTTATGTGCATTATTAATAATTTTTGATTAAATATTTATTAATTTCGGAAAACTTATTTCTTTCTTTTCCCTTCGCTCAGATTTATTCGACAAATCTGCATTCAGAATTAATAAAAATAATAAATTAACAATTATTTCTATCCTTGAGTGTTTTAAATAAAAATTAATTATTCAAATTGTTAACATTTCATGTATTTTTTTTTTATTTATTAAGTAAGTTAAGTATAGTAAGTTTTCTTAGTATTTTATTCGTGTTACAAACATTATTCTCAGGACTTTAAGCACTGTAGATTTGGATGACGCATACGAGTATTTTCATGAAAATTCTGAATCTCATTGCACGATCATAATTTTCATTCTTGATCGATGGCCTGCCACATTACGACGTCAGCTAAACTTCACATAATATACATTATCCTGCAAACATGAAACGGCTGCCAATTAAGATTAATATTGTGGATAGCAGAAGAAAATTATGTGACTAGTATAAAATGTGAATAAAGTATAGTGTAACTATCAAATACTACATATTGTCATCCAAAAATATATATTTTATTTGTTATTAAAGTAAGTAAGAATGATATTGTGTGTAATGTAAATATACAATATTATAAAAAAATTTTTAACACAAAAAAAAATTATTATATCTTTTGGAAATATTTGAAAATTTGCTACACTTAAAACTGTATCGTATAATAGAATTACAAAAATCATTTTCAATGACATCACTTCTTTTTTTTACAAAACTAAAATGTATGAAAATTATTAGTATTTTGCAGAGTTATCAACTTACAGATTAGTCTATACGATAACGTATTATCAGTACGTAAAAAATGTTAAATCATAAAAATCATAAAAATCATAAATTATAGAATAAATTATGTAAATTATCAAGAAATTTTTATAGTTTATGCAATAAATTAAACATACTGGCACTACGCTTTAACTAGTTCATTAGGAAACATTCGTATCTATCAAATTCAGATAATAATTATCAGCGTACTAACTAGTCACATGATATAGATGTGCTATAATTATGCACTTCATGTAATTATGTTATTTTGATATTAATTATATTACATGCCATTACGTCATTTGTATATGTATATATGTGCATCTGTTCTTAAAACGAACCATGTGATAAATATTGTGAATCAAAATTTTTGCCAGATTAATGTGTTTTATATTTTTATTATATTCTTCCTTATTATGTGAATCGTACTAATTTGCCTAAAGCTATTATTAAAAGCATTTATTTTATTACATTTTTACTTTATTACTTTATTTAGTCAACTATTTCAATATTAATTAATCTAATATTCATTTTTCTAATAATCATTTTTTCTATTATTACAATTAAGAGTTAACGCTACAAATTAATTACTACAATTAATGTCATATATAAATAAAAATGTAATTTAGATTTTTTTATCATTCAATTTTTCATTCTGAGTATGTAAAGCGTCGCTTCTTTTTTATCCGTTCATTTATAATATCCATCTATATTCTAATAATAACTTCATTGATTATGTGATATACTTAACTCTTTTTTTGTCAAAAAGAATCATATCATATTCAAACATGTTATGTCTTCTCTCTCTCTCTCT